TTCTTCGACTCATAATGTGATGCCATCTATCTATCCAACTTAATTTGTTCCTAGTTCCTTTGGCACCACTGTAATTTTGCCTTGAATTTGTTCTTAGAGACTTGCATACGTTCATATGTGGGGCCCTGAGGGAGCTTACCCATTGACACCCAATCGGGAAATCTTAGCCTCGCCTCCGAGTGAGCATCTTTGACATGTTTATTCCAGCCAATGATACGCTGCTTTTTACCGCATCCCCTCACACGGTAGCATTCCTCAGCCGCACCCCGCAACATACAAACCACCTTTTCATACAAGCCAGCTATTACTATTCTAAGGTCTAAGTTGCTACACATTCCAAATGAGCATTCAGTGAGCCGTTCTGGAAAACTAACATCATTCATTTGGTCATTACAGATGATTCTATACTGCTCAGTTTGTACGCAATCACGCTCACCCCATATAACCTTATTAATCACGGCTGCAGGACAATGTAACTTTGTCCTTAGTACATTAAAATTGCAACTAACTTCAAGGGGGAAGTGATCAGACCAGTACATCCCATACTCACACTCTCGACCGACTGCCACCCAGCCCCAGTAACCACACAGTGATCTAACCACTTCGTTTAATAGTGTATAAAATAGATGAACAAACGACATCACCTTTAATAAGCATGATATCGTTAACTTGTTAATTACAACAAATGACTTGCTAGTTTTAGACATCGTTTCAGAAGTAAAAACGTCATTTGGAACAGCAGTAAAAATTTAAGATTAAGTGAGTTAAGGGAATTATTGAAATGATGACCAAGGCGTCGTCGGCTCGCCGCGTCGCGTCATACGACTTTTTGGTAACACGGATGATTCATTTTTGTGAAGTGACGTCATCGAATGATTCTACTGTGAATTTTGTTGACTCCAGCGCTTTACTTCAACTGTAACGTTGTAAATTAATAATGAGTATCAGCAACTGTACAGTACGCCTACTGTACTTAAACATGCTGATGCGCTCCACTTACTTTCGCATAGCTATCATTTGCTCATTTCTTTTTATAGCATCAAGTGACGGGACGAACAAGTTGCGCGCCTGATGATAAGCTACACGCCTATCCGTAACAGTTGCAGTGCCACACAGAGATTTGAATTACAAAGATCTGAGGGGAACTACCAGTGAGCCCGTTTTATTTTTTAAGTCGTTTTACGCTATTAACTCATTTAGTTTACAAGCATTACGCTTGTTCTTCTGGACACGAATACATAGAGAATTTATGCAAAGACGCAGTTTGTCACGTTGGGTATCACCGCTTCTAATTTTGTGCATTGAGATATGGCATGTTTTACGCTAATGCAGCCACGCAATAAACAGCCGTACATGTTTGCAGGTTAAGGTAAATTGTATGTTTGCTATCGGTAGACCTATTCGTATTTTTATAAAGGTGGCTGTTCTGTTCCGTCTCTCGTATACATAGGCGGTTGTAGTGCAGTTTGATAATCGCGGGTTTTGTAAGATAACCAACCAGGTCAGTTGACACCAAACTCCATAGTCGTTTACGTGTAAATATATCTATTTCTTTATCACAACTTCGTACACAATTTTTAAGGGATGCATAGCAAGGAAGCATATTACGTTGGTTTTATGATTAATGAACAACGACGAAGACTGAGCCGATGTGCTTTATCTTCAGTGATTTCCCTGAAATGTTGCAATTATTGCGCCTTTATCACTATACAATTTGTCGTGAATGTTGGGTTTATTAAGGGCGAAAACGCCGGCAATTGTGAATAGTCACCGTGGAATATGAATCTCCAAATAAGCTAAGTATAGCTTCGTGCACGTATATCAAAGACGTGCCGTATTCACGCAAAACTAATCTATTCGGAATACCAATGTTACTTTGTCAATTCTCCAATAACAAGTGACAATTATTGCCTGCTCCACGCACCCCCCCTTCCCCCCACTTCTAATATAATCAATGCCGTTTAGCAGCCTACGAAATGAACGAAGTTATGATTCTTGCTCTCAACATGTTCATAAATTTGCTATCCTTTGACAATAGGTTGTCAACAAATCCCTAACATCCTTTATTTTTCTGCAGAAATCTTACTAGGACACAGACATGTATTACTAGGATACTCTCCGGCAGTGCCGCGGGGCAGCGGAGAGACGCACTTCTACCGGCTAAAACCCCATGGTGGCCTTCTCCTCACGACGAAGAGGGCCATACCACCCCGTCGTCCTCCTTACGGCCGCCAAAGTTACTGGCGAAGGTACGCCGCGCCGCCGCCGAGCGGGATCGGCCCTGTCCCGATCACGCTCGGTGACCTCCTTCTGTAGCAATTCTCTCTCTTCTCAATTCTGAAGCAAATCTAGACCAGTCGTGTTTTAACACTGGCACCACATCAACATAATAGTACCTGATGATAGATGGAAATTAGGACTGTAACGTAACGAAATAGATGATCAATGAAGTACGCCCCGACACCGCTCCACCCGTTTATTTACTAATTATTTCGTCACACATTGTACTATCAAAATATGAGACTAATTTAATCTTAACACGTTCCAAGTCGTGAGTGATGTTTACCAAGGTTAACATTTGTATTAAGGAAGCAACAATTTATTTTTTTCAACATTTTAGACGATCTGAACAATATACTACGCGGTTATGTATCAAAATAAAAATGATCGCGTGCTTACTAAAACTCATGAGCTGGGTAAGTTTTAATACATGAGTCATTATTTTTACTTCACAATAATACTGTAAATTTATCATGACTTGTCATGGCTAAGTGGAACATACATTACATAACATAACAACGCATTTCTTGCGAAGTGAAACACGTAGGTACATATTCTTCAAATTCCGTTCGCAAAGTTCGTTACGGCAATCAGAAAGAAGTTCGATTTTAAAATAAGTAAACAGTTGATTAATAACTGCATAGGATTGCATAAAGGTCTAATGAAATGGTTTAAAACGACTCGCCTCCGGAACGACAGAACGGTTCACTCGTTACCGGCTAACTATATAAAAGTCGGATGTTGTTATCTGTTGCGACCGCCAAGACAATGGTCAGTAAAGTCACTTCGGCACGCGCTCACTGTAATTTGCCGCTGCGACAATGCGACGCGACGCGTGCGCAACTTTTGCTTTTGTTTTTTGTGTAACGACCGACAACGGTGCACGAGGTAACAGTCGGCTAGACAAAATGCTTTCTTAAGCGTCAAATATGCATATTAACTTATACAAGTAACATGACGCGGCTCAATAAAATCACCGAAAACATAATGCGTTCAATATTACCGTAAAGTTAGCTAACGTAAGTATATACAAATATGTATTTAAAATGTATTTTGTACTGAGACACTGAATCGGTTGGTGCCGTAGCAGTAGCATTCAAGACACGCATACGTTATATCCGGGTGAGGGGAAAAACAGTGTTTGCTTCAAGTCTGAGGGTCACAGACAATCGTGATCAAGGATCGGGCGCTGCGTCACCATGGCCGATAAAAACCTGAAGACCATCGCGTCAGACGACGCGCGGGGCAGCTGCCGATTGCCGGAACTGACCTTCGTGACTCGCCGCCGGCGTCGTGACGCTTTAAACACTTCCCATTACGAGCCACATCAGTTCCGTTAATTATATTCGAGAACAGTTGGGTCGGTCTTGGTATTGAGTACTTTATCCACAGTTTAAACAATATAAAATTGTATTGTTTGTCTAAAAGTGCAGTTGCTGCGTATTTGAACTTGGTTAGGTGATATAGGATTATTTGTACAGTCAAAAATATAAGGTTTAAACTCGTATTAACTATACCTACAATGTTTTTGTCCCAGATTATAGTAAATTATTTATTATGGCTCCATCTTCTTCTGCTGTACCTTCCTTTTTGGCTTTAACTTTTGGGGTATCTAGAAGCCGGAGCAAATGCCAAAAACAATATTCAAATGATAGCACCAGTAGGTAGTATGCTTGCTTCACGGTGTTAACTGCACCAGGCTGTTGGTACAGATCTGTCGCATGCGCCGCGAACGCATTGCATTTGCGCTGCGCCGGCGCTGCACGCATACTGCACGGGCGCTGCATGCGTGCAATTAAATACATGTTAATATTATGTGGCGCGCGAACGGCTTGCGAATAGTTTGCACAGCGTAATGTGTAATGCAATCGCGAGCCTTTTTAGTAAACTTTCGCATTTGCGGCGCATTCGCTAGATCTGTACGCACCCTAACATCGTTTCCCGAAGCTGTTTCATAGTTAACAATATATCAAATAGTACCATTTTGATATAGAATTCACAAACTGTGTACACTAATGTTACATTATACAAAAAAGGTAATATTAGGGGGCGTCACCGAGCGCTGCTATTTGTGTCTGCTGTCAGGTTTGATCAGGTTTCTTAGTCGTTGTCAGAGTTGTTCGGGGTACCTACAATCTTTTTTACCGAGTTCTTTAGCGTTTGATGGAGATTTGACATTCGACCTTTTGACAGGAAGGATATACCTTGTAGTCTTTGGGCAGAATCAGAATGATGTAAGTAAATAAGTTTTAGATTGTGATTATAATTTATAAGTTTTTGTTTACAACTTTTGATACTTTTTTACTCTTTCTTATTTTTATTTACCGTATACAACATATGTTACGACAACATACCGTAAATGCTTCACCGCTTCGCGCAGCCTCGGTGCGGGTTTCAAGTAGGTGCAAAAAATAGATCGGTCCGACTTTGGAGTCGACGGTGCTGCAAGGCCGCTACGACAGAGTAAAGCAATGCTTCCCTCCGAGGGAGCCCGCGCGGGCGCGCTTCCCGCCGCCACTGCCACTCGAAAGCAGGAACTGTAGTACATCTTAATACGTGCTGAAATTCAAGCGTCACAAGGACGTGTCACGCGGTGACTATATATTGATTAGGCGCCCGACGATGGGCGAAAATAAGGACGTACGTGTGTATAATAAATGTCACTACGGCGTATGTCCCTGCAAGCGAGTAGCAGTAACCGTAAATGTTTTTCTTTGCAGGCATCGTGCAGCGTGGGCGGCATGCGGTGCGGCGCGTGGGGCGCGTGCAGCGGCGCCGGAAACCGCTGGCGAAACGCGCGACTGCGCTGGCTAGGCGCGCTGCTGGTGTGGGCGGCGCTGCTGGCGCTGGCCATGCCGCGCCTTAGCCCGCCCGAGCCGCGCGCGCCGCCACCGCCCGCCGCGCGCTTGCTGCTGCAGTCCGAACCCGCTGCGTCCACGCCCGGCCTGGCCACTGCCCCGCCGCTGCCCGCCACCGGTCAGTACAGCCAAAAGTCCATGTACACGATTCAGCGCTAGCCCGCCACGCGTTTGGAATCCCACACTCATTGCGTCCTCTGTTCGTTCTAGACACGCGCGTGCTGTCGGAGATGGAGTTGGTGGAGGACGCCGAGCGGCGTCTGCCCTCGCTGCCGCTGGCCTACTGGCAGCGGCACCGCAACGACAAGAACAAGTTCTATAAAAAGAAAGAATGTGCGCCTTTCCCCAACATCTACGACCTCGAGTTCCACAACACGTACTGGCAGACGCTACGCGCCTCCGTCGGCACCTTCCACCTTTACGGGGCGTACCTCGACAAGCGCAACTCGTCGCGCATCGGGCCGGCCGTTCGCATGCTCGCCGTGTACGACCGCATCAAGCCCTCGCTGGTGACGCACTGTCAGCTCTGGTTCGAGGACCGCGCTGCGCCCGTCATAGTGCGAAATCTCGAATACAAGTACGTGTGGAACCACAAGTGGGGCAACTACCGCGACGGCGTGCTGCAGCCGTACCTGCTGGCGTGCGTGTTGCCTCCGGAGGTGCGGGACTCGGTGCCCGCCTCTGTCAGCCTGGTGGAAGCGGCGTGCGACCGCGCCACCAACAACCTGCGCGTGCACTACGACGCGCCCGCTTCTCCCGAGGGTCGCAAGGACGTCGCGGTCTGCGTCAAAGGGCTCGACTTCTTGCACGAGGACCTCTCGGTGCGCCTCGTCGAGTGGATCGAGCTGGTGCGCCTGATGGGCGCCGACAAAATATTCTTCTACGAGCTGCAGGTCCACCCGAACATCACTAAAGTTCTGCGACACTACCAGGAGCTCGGCGTGGTGACCGTCACGCCGATCACGCTGCCGGGCGGGCAGCCCAACCTGCCGGGCCTGCAGCACATGTACCTCAAGAAGAAGATGACTCACAAGCGGCAGATGGAGCTGATCCCCTACAACGATTGCCTCTACCGGCATCTCTACCGGTACCGGTGGCTGGCGCTGCTGGACATCGACGAGGTGATCGTGCCTCTGGAGGACCCGGACTGGCCGGCGCTGATGCGGCGCGTGGAGCCGCTGGCGGCGCCGGCGGCGGGCAAGCCCGCGCGCTCCTCCTACCACGCGTCGAACCTCTACTTCCTGGACTCGCTGCGGCACGAGCACGGCTGGGAGGAGAGCGTGCCGCGCTACATGCACATGCTGCAGCACGTGTACCGCACGCGCAACTTCACCAAGCCCGGCCAGTACGTGAAGGCGTTCCACGAGACGGAGCGCGTGCTGGCGCTGCACAACCACTTCCCGCTGGCGTGCCTGGGCGGCGCCTGCTCGTCCTTCGCCGTGGACACGCGGCACGCGCGCCTGCAGCACTACCGCGCCGACTGCGTGTCGGCGCTCAGCAAGTCGTGCGCCGAGCTGCGCGCGCAGCCCGTGCGGGACGCGGCGCTGTGGCGCTGGCGCGGGCCGCTGACGGCGCGCGTCGACCGCACGCTGCGCGCGCTGGCCTTCCTGCCGCCGCAGCGGTGACGCCCGCCGCGAGCCCTCCCGCGTTATCAAATGCTAGCATTAAATGTATCTCATAGTCGACCCGGCCTTTGCTTCCGCCGCCTCCCGCCTTTGCGGAACGTAGGGTCCGCCTTCCTACCGGCACGTTTAGCTGAACGCGAGAGAACCCCTGAATAATATTTAAAAAATGCGTTTTGATTAAGTAATTTCTACTTTTTCTATAGAGGTTGCGTTTTGACGCTTCACGCCAGAAACGCAAAATGCCAAACGGGCAGAATGCCAGATTCTCAGGAAACCAAACGTCCCTGCCAGGAATAGGCCTTCTTTCTCCTGACGCACGAACTAATGTCCAGTAGTGGACGTCATACGTCTGAAATAATGAAGCGAGATTCTGATTATTTATTTATTTATTATAAACATAACAGAACTTATCTATTTATTAAAAACAAAATGTAGTTTCCTTTAACTTTAATAACTAAACTGGCATTGGCAGTCGTCGTCGAAACGAATCATGTAAGCCCACACGTAAGGTAGCTGCAGTGCACTGTCGAGGAGTTCCTCTCCTCTGTCCGCCAAGTCCATCATCAGATTTACTTTCATTGGATACATCTACGTGCCAAGTTTTTTTGGAATCGGTTAACGGCGACTGGGTGCAATTTGAGAACCCTGTTTGATCCCTAAATTTACCACCCTTAGAGGTAGAATATTTACTTCAACTACTAAATTCCAAAGGGACCGCTGCTCAAGTACCGCTTTAACAATTGAAAAAGAATACTCGAAATCGGTTCACAAATATCGGAGTAATCGCCTCCACCTTTTTTAAGTCGGTTAACAAAAGATTTCTTTTGCTAATAATACTTCGAATGAGACTTCGCGTGTTTCGTAGCGTAGATTGGGGTGATTTTTCGTAACAATTGCTGTAGAACCGCGATATACAAGATGTAGTTTCTGCAACAATTGTCACTCCTCCTGGGGAGGAGGCGTGAAATGTATAAAAATGGGACTACAGCAGTGTTGGGAAAAATTTAATTGTTCAGGCAATTAACGATTGACAATTCATTAAATGTCAATTGGGAAACATCAATTAACAATTGATTAATTGTTAATTGCGGTTCTCGCAACTAACAATTAATCAATCGTTAATCGCGTATATCTACAATTAACAATTAATCAATTTTCAATCTTTTCAATGTTTTTGATTAACAATTAAAACTGACAATTATGATAAATTTATAAGGCATATGGGTGAGTTAATGGGTGAGTGAGTGGGTGAATGGGTGGGTGGGTGAGTGAGTGAGTGTGTGAGTGAGTGGGTGAGTTTGAGTGGGTGGGTAAGTGACCTCCTAACCCTCCCCTTGAATTGATTTTTTAGTCTGATTGAATTTCAGATTTAAATTTAATTTATTTACGCCCAACACTGGACTATAGGGATTTGTTTCTATTCTATGCTTTAGCTAATTACTTTGGGATCAGAACATTGTACGTGATGTTGTCTAATTTTGTAACCTTTTTAGCGATTTACCGTTTATTATTTTAAATAAAATGATTAGGTAAGTACTAGTGGTTCAGCTCAATAATAGTGGAATTACTTTTTGGGTAAATACTCTATTCATTTGGAATGCGTTTCATAATTTTAAAATTTGTTTTTTAACTTTTTAGAGATATTCCATAAATGAATACGTCGGTGACCGTTACGATATCACGATTAAAATATCAAGACTGTACCACAAATTGTAAATGAAATGAAAAATAGTAGAGAATTTAAATAGGTTTAAAAATCAAATGCACATTTGAAGTTAATAAATTTGCAAATATAAGTTAATTAAAATAATTCGCATACACACAGTAAACACCTCGGTATATCGTATTTTGTTATATCTTAAACATAACCTCACTATGGTAAAGTGTAGTGCATGCGACAGTGACATGAAATCGAAAGAAACTGTACCTATTAACTTGCTCCAAGTCATCATGCAAGCTTCAATACCACCAAGCCCGCGTTGGTGTCAAAAGGGGTACCACAATTTCAACATTGACTTGGATGTGTCCAGAATGCCAGATCATACAAAAACGTCGCGATGATAACTTCAACACACCGGTAAAGGTTCAAATTATTATAGTTTAACTTCGTTTTTGTTACACATTACATAACATATATTATATTTATTATATAACACTTACACCATAGTAATACATTCCTGCACGTATTCATTTACACTACACGTAAACATAAACCTCCGATTTAACCCAATTATTTAATTTTTACCTTTTGTTAAGTATATTGCCGTTGTTTTATTCTAGCGCTATTAAAAATGAAACTCGCATATTATCTTACTTTGACGTCGTCGTATTCAAGCCAGATGTAAACATAAATCATGACAATTTATTCCCAAACGTATCATTATTACAAAGGCATAGATTTCATAAGACATCGGTCAACCAAATATTTTCTTTCAAAATGTTCGTCGTCTTCCAAATAAAACATTAGAACTTTATAATAACTTGCTTAACGTGGACCCATGACATTATTTATTATATTAACAGAGACTTTGCTAAACGTGTTTTAGACAGTGTTTTAGATTCCGAACTATCAGATCACGGATAAGAGATATTCTGTCGCGATCGTGGATCGAACTGAGTTGAGGTTATGATCATGCGCAACCGAAGACTGAGATCGAATGGCAACGCGATCGCGTAGAGCAGCCTTTCCCAAAGTGGGCGATAATGCCCCCTTATGGGCGCTGCAGGCCTTAAGGGGGGCAGTACGAGACCCAGAAAAAAAAAATAGGGGCGTTGTTTGAGGAGACTCTTAGGGTCGTATTCCAGAATTCTACTCAATGCTCAAGTCAGGATTTGAGCAGACTTGAGTATGATTTCAATATAACCCTAATAAATACGGAAATACGACCCTAATGGCAAGGACTTGAGTATGATTTCTAGTGCTTTAAATCATACTCAAATCCTGACTTGAGCATTGAGTAGAGTTCCGGAATACGACCCCCGACTGAGCTCTCGACTCTCGATTACAACTTGTGAACATCAACTAATATTAATTAAGAGATTGCTCAAACGAACTCGGTTCGATATTTCTCTCCGTGTAGTTCATACATCTGTCCTGCTTTATTGAATAAATAAAATAAAAATCATGTCCATCGGTCGCTCCGTTTCGAAGTCAGTCAAAGTCAAAGATCATTTATTCCATAGGTAAAATAGATTTACACTTGAAAATGTCACATTTACGTTACATTACATTAAGCTACTGCTCGTTCACTACGCTGACTTCCCTGAGAAGAACGAGCAAGAAACTCTAGAGATTGCTGTGTGTGTGTGGATTCTGGAGCCGTGTCGTCTTTCCATACATCTTTATCTAACACGAAGTTTTAAGTTTGTAATGTGATTTTGCGATCAAAATATGTTTAATGTAGTTTTTAAACTTAGGAAATGATAAATTCTGGTACCATGAGTTTGGACTTGGCTCTAAGATTAATATTATGGATAACACCGTAATGTTCCAGCTTCATAATAAGAGTAATATGGTCAACGCAATCAAATGCCTTTGAGACGTCACAGAAAATACCAATAGCGTTCTGGGACATTTCCCAAGCATCAAAGATGTATTTTAGTAACGCTACCCCCGCATCGCTAGTCGATCTACCACTAGTAAACCCGTATTGTTTGTTCACTATGAAAAATGTTATTCCTACTGAAATAGGAGAGTAATTGAGTCAGCATAATCTTTTCGAATATTTTACTTAAAGCTGGTGAAATTGAAATGGGTCTATAGTTGCTAGGATCAACTTTCCTACCGCTTTTGAATAAGGGAATAACCTTGCTGTATTTCATTAAATCGGGAAAACACCTTCTTCAACGCACCTATTGAAAGCTACAGCTAAATGTGGGGAAATTAGATCAATAACTGAGTCTATAACTTTAGTTGATATGTCCCAGAGAGCTTCAGTTTTTTTAACATGTATCGATTTAAAAGCTTTTATGATGTCTTGTGGATTAACATGTCGGAAATGAAATAATCTGCCACAAACGTTAACAATTACCTTTTGGAGATCAATAGCAAGAGAAGGGGAGGAATTTAATGATTCTGTAGTGTTCACAACAATTTCCGAAAAGAACGATTCAAAAGGTTGGGCTACCTTGTCTTTAGATTATATAACTTTGCCTTCTAATTCTAAAACTATATCTCTATCGTGTTGTTTAACACTGCCTGACTCTTTATTTATTATGCTCCAAGTAGTTTTAGATTTATTTATCGATTGTCTAATTTTGTCGCTGTGAAACTTAACCGTAGCAGCTACACATATTTTTTTAAATACTTTTGAATAATTTCTAACATATTCTATGAAATTGGAATTAGTATTATAAGTTTTCATAGCATATAGCTCATACAAACGAGACCTACTCTTATGAATACCTACTGTTGCCCAGTCATTGAATTTCGTCTGTCTATGGAAAGTTAATGTTTTCGATTTAAATACATTATCAAATTCATTTTTAATTAAACCAAATATCGTGCTATATAAAGAATTTGGAACCTCCGGTATATGGGGTTGGGAATTTAAACTATTGCCGATATTATTTTGAAATCTAATGATTCGTTCTGTGGTAAACGGTCTTCAGAGAAATTGGTCTACCTTCTTGCTCATTTTACAATTAAAAGAAGCCAATTGGCCACTATGGTCTGATCTTAAGCAATTTATTATTGATTTAGACATTGCGTCTGTGTTACAAAAGATGTTATCAATACAAGTAGAAGAGGAGGCAGTGATGCGAGTTGGTTCTAAGAAAAAATTAATCGAGTTAAAACTTTTGAATAAATTAATTAGTCTTACAGAAGTAGAACAGTTTTCCAACAAGTTTATATTGAAATCTCCACATATTACTACGTTTTTATTGGTTGGACAAATACGCTTTAAACTATCTTCCATAATTAATTCAAACTCGTTAAAATTAGCAAAGGGGGGCCTGTATACACATAAGACGACAAACTGATCCAATTCCACACATGAAATCTCAATAGTTCGTTCAGTAGAAAGATCTGTGATGTCCTTACGCTCTTTAAATTTTAAGTTACATTTAATAATTATCATGGATCCGCCTCTACTTAAGTTCTTTCTTATGAACGAACTGATTATTACATAATTTTCTATGTTGTTAATTGCTTCGTAGTCTTTCAGCCAGTGTTCTGTAACACAAAACACGTCAACGGAAATATCATGCAAAAAAAGATTTATTTCTAATGTTTTGCCAGAAAAGCCTTGAATATTTTGATGTACTATATGGAAACGATTAGACTTTACTGTT